CTCCCCCTCTCCTCACCATGTGTTAACCATGTCCTTCAGTGAGGTGCTTTCTAGTGCTAGCCTCGCCAGCTGCGGACGCGTAGTTCTTCTCTCTCTCTCTCCCTCCCTCTCCCCCCCTCTCCCCCTCTCTCTCTATGTGCCCCCCTCTCCTCACCATGTGTGACCATGTCCTTCAGTGAGGTGCTTTCTAGTGCTAGCCTCGCCAGCTGCGGCGCGTAGTTCTTCCGAACCTTCAGCCGCGTCGCCTCCGTCTTCTCCAACCTGCAACGCCAACGCCACCTAGCGTCACTAACACTTCGCAAATGACACAACGCCACCTAGCGTCACTAACACTTCGCAAATGAACAACGCCACCTAGCGGTGAACACGTCAACCGCTCGACATGACCGACTCTACGAGAGAAAGTTAAGACTAACGTTAAGACTAACGATAAGACTAACGTTAAGACTAACGTAGACTAAGATAAGACTAATTTTGTGTCTGACAATGGGCCCCAGGGCAGTAGAGCTCAAGGAGGAATGCTCTACTGCTCAGTGGGAGAGAATGCAGAGTCCGACAGACGATGGAACTACAGAACATTATGTAGTCACTGTCCAGTCACTGAGTTACAGGCCCTGTCCAGTCACTGTTTCCAACAACAGGTCCCAGGTACGCCGCTACCTGTTGGTCGGTCGATCTGCTGCGCTCACCTGCCGGAGTGTCGGGCCTCCAGTTGCCGTAGCGACGCGGCAAACGCGTCGTGCGAGCCCTTCAGCCTCTCCTTGAACTGCGCGCACACGCTGCGTCCGAGACGCGACTCGCTCAGCTTGCTGATAATCTCCGTGGCAACGGCGACCGGCTTGCAACGCGACGCTTCCACTCCGCGTCGATCCTAGGTGGCGCTGTCCACGGCATCGACTGTACGATCTACGCGCAGAGATAGATGGCAGCACGTGAGCGACGGGGAGGAGCGAGTGGTGGAGTGCGTGACGCGTTAACGACCTAACAGCTGTCGGCTGATTTCAAGCTGACGATTTACTCAGTAATCAAACTAACAAGGCGGAATACGAAAACAAATTATGTGTGGTTTACGCGTTACATTGCCGAAAAAAAATAGGGTAGGTAGGTAAAGAAAACATTTTATTGTTCTTGAAATAAGTTTATTACCGAACCGATGTCGCGAAGGATGTGGCGTTGTGCCTTTTGAAGGCAGAGATAACTGTCCGCAATTCCATATTTGTTTTTATTATTTTTTTGGCTAAAAGAAAATGACACAATAAAATGTTAGGGTCACTGGAATCAAATAGGATGCGGTTCACGGAACCCTACCAACACCTATATTTTGTTTTGGCCTTAAGATGAAATTGGTGAATCGCCTGGGCAGAAGAGAGGGAGAAGGCAGAGAGAGAAGGGCAGAGGCGAGAAAGCCAGGAGGAGGAGGAGAAGGAGAGGAGGAGGAGGCGGGAGGAAGGAGGAGGGGGAGAGGAAGAGGAAGAGGAAGAGGAAGGGAGGGGAGGAGGGGGAGGAGGGGAGGAGGAGGAGGAGAGGAGAAGAGGAGAGGAGGAAAAGAGAGGAGGAGCAGGAGGAGAAGAGAAGGGGTAGAGGAGGAGGAGGGAGGGAGAGGAGGAGCAGGAGGAAGGTAGGAGGAAGAAGATCGCAGGGAGAGAGGAAGAGGCGAAAGTATCATAATGTGTTACCTGTCCCGTATCTTCTCTAGAATGATCTGGCACGACTGAAGTTACTGTTCTCCACCGTGACCTCCACCTGGTAAGTGCCGCGGTGCATTCAGGATCTACACAAATCACAGCAACGATTCATGTTACAGCCCGTATAGTATTAGACCAATTCTAATTATCCATATCATGCAGCAGCAGCAGCAGCAAGCAGCAGCGGCAACAGCAGCAGCAGCAGGCAGCAGGCAGCACGGCAGCAGCAGCAGTAGTAGCAGGGCAGTAGCAGTAGCAGTAAGTAGGCAGTAGTAGCAGCAGCAGCAAGCAGCAGTGTAGTAGCAGTAGCAGCATGCAGAGCAGTAGCAGTAGTAGCAGTAGTAGGCAGCAGCAGCAAGCAGCAGTAGTAAGCAGTAGCAGTGCAGGGCAGGCAGCAGCAGCAGTAGTTAGCAGTAGGGCAGCAGCAGCATGCAGGCAGCACGAGCAAGCAGCAGCAGTAGTAGCAGAGTAGGCAGCAGCAGCAGGGCAGTAAACACCACACCACAACTCTAAGCTAACACAACCTGCAGCCAGGCAGGCAGCATTAGCAATATTATTGTCATCAATCATCGACCATCAGCGGTCATCATCAGACGCACACACCACCGCGCACCGCCACCGCCGACGCCAAGCACCGCCGCCACCCACCGCCACCATCCACCGGCCACGCGCACCACCAGCACCACCACCGCCGCACCACGCACCACCCACCACTACCACCATCACCATGGCCAGTACAGGTATTAACAACATGAACTAGAACCAGTCGATGTGGGACACGCGTTGTTGTTGCATGCTGAGTGCTGCTGAGTGAATCCTACCTGCTGGAGCGCGCGGCTCGCCGACGGACAATCGTAATTCTCGCTTGTCGCCTCTCTCCTCCAACTCTGCCAGACACCGTCGCAGAGTACCCTAGTCGCGCAGACAACGTCTCACGGTTACACAGTCACGCGTCGAGAAACTCAACGGTGTAACGAACGACAGTCTATGAACACGTAGATCGTCAAGTGTGCGAGGATACTACGATTTGTCCACGTAAGTGTAAGAGGCTAGATGTGTAAGGTAGTGGGTAGATCAGTGGACAACATTTCATGATAGCTGCCACAAGGAGGGTAGTAATGGGGTAAACGACAATCTATAAACACATAGTGTTTGTTAGGGAGGTGAGGGGATAGGGTGTGTGTGAGAGCTAATATGTATGTAGGTAGGTGGAGGTGTGTTATGGTGGGTAGTGAAAGCTGGCAATCAGGTAAGGTAGTAGGATATAAGCTACGACACGCTCCCATAAAAGTAACTATAGTGTAATATAATATAAGCATAATATATATATTATATAAAGTAATGTAATACATAGTGTACATATAGTGTAAGGACAATAAGTGTGCACAGAGAGCAACATTGTAAAGATAGTAGACATAAGTGGTGGCACACGAGACAAACATGTAAAGATAGTAAGTAGCATAAATGTGGTGCACACCGACAAACCAGTAAGATAGTAAGACATAAGCTAGGTGGTACACACAGAGCAACATGTAAGGTAGTAAGATATAAGGCTTAGGTGTACACACAGACAAACATGTAAGGTAGTAAGATATACAGCTAGGTGGTATAAACACCAGACAACATGTAAGATAGTAGATATAAGCTAGTGGTACACACAGACAAACATGTAAGGTAGTAAGATATAAAGCTAGGTGGTACACACAGACAAACATGTAAGGTAGTAAGATTATAAGCAGGTGGTACACACAGACAAACATGTAAGGTAGTAAGATATAAGCTAGGTGGTACACACAGACAAAGCATGTAAGGTAGTAAGATATAAGCTAGGTGGTTACACACAACAAACATGTAAGGTAGTAAGACATAAGCTGGTGGACA